AATTACTAAATTTTTAATCTCGGTCGTAATTTACTGTTCATAAGCATTTCAGAGGGTGTTAGCCCTGTGGTTTACTGTGGTGTTATTCCTTTAGTTCAACAGAAATTTATCAACTCTGTCTTGGATGGTTCCTCCCCTAATCTTCTTCAATGCGGACTTAAAGGTCTGAACTGCCCGTTCTGCACATCCATTGTCTAAGGGGCTATAAGGTGAAGTTTTATTTGCCAAATTCCATTTCTGGCGGTGAACTGCTCAAATGCCTTGCTTGTAAATGTTGGTCCATTATCGGAAAACATCACTTTGGGTTATCCATGAGAAGCAAATTTGCCATGCAATTTTTTATTGTTGTGCGGGTATATGTTTTTCATCACGATGACCTCGAGCCATTTTGAGTACGCATCCATTATAACGAGAAACAGATTATCCATTAATGGTCTCGCAGAAATTATATGTAACCTTGACCAAGGCTTACTTGGACATTCCCAAGTATGAGATAGTGCTAGATCAGGCTTTTCATGTTGATTTGACACTCCTCACATTCATTAACACAGAGTTCTAATTCACTGTCCATGCTGGGCCACCACACGTAACTCCTCGCCAAACTTTTCATTCTGGTAATTCAAGGATGTCCCTCATGTTATTCATCTTTCATACATTTTCAGCCCGCTCCACTTTTTCTGCACTAAGACCACTCTATTACCCCAAAATATACAACCGTCGTTGCTGCTCAATTCAGTCCGACGTTCTAAATATGGTTTTTAATTCTTCTTCCAGACATTTATCAGGCCAGCCGTTGAAATGAAGTACCTTTGATAGTACATGGACTCTCCGTGTCCACAGTATTATGTCCTCACAGGTCACGTATGGCTCATCAATGTGATTTAGGATCATGCTTGTGTCCAACGGCATAGGGGTATCTGTTTCTTTGGTTTGTAAGGGAAGTCGGCTCAATCCATCGGCATTTCACTGATTTCCTCCGTCTTTGTATACAAAACGTTATTCATAAGCTGCTTATGTTAGAGCCCACCGTTGAATTCTTGAAGCAGCCATTGATGGTATTTGCTTATCCTCACTAAACAACCAATTGAGCGGTTTATGATCTGTTACAATGGTCACCAGTCGCCCAAACACTGATGGAATTTCTTTATGCCAAATATGATTGACAAACTTTCCTTTTCCCATTGAGAATAATTTCTCTCGGCTGCTGTCAAAATACGTAACGCATAGAAAATGGGACGCTCGCTTCCATCATCCATTTGATTGGATAGGACTGCTCCTATCCCGTATTGTGATGCATCACATGTACTAGTAAGTAACAATTTTTTGCATGGACCATAGTGCACTTACACTTTATCGAATTGCAGTTAGTCCTTCGAGTTTTGAAATGCATCCTCTTGCTTCTTACCCCACACCCACTTTTGCATTTTCTGCAACAGTTTGTGTAAAGGATTCAACGTTGTCGCTAAATCGAGTCTAAACTGATTGTAGTAGTTGAGCACTCCGAGATATGCTTTCAGCTCGGTGACGTTAGTCAGATTTGGTGCATTCTTAATTGTTGTCACCTTTTCTGCTATGGGATAGATTCCTCGCTTGTTTATCTTGTACCCAAGATACACAACTTCAGCTAGGTGCCATGAATACGCACTTGGATTGCTTGAGTCGAACTTCTACATCTAGAATTCGTTCTAGAACTTTTTCCAGATTTTCCAAATGTTCCTTATCTGTACGACCTGTGACTAGTATGTCCTCGACACGTATCAACACATTCGGAATTCCTTGAAGCATATTCTCCAGTGTCCGCTGGAAAATATCTGGACTTGATGGCATCCCTTATGGAAGGCGATTATACTAAAATAATCCTTGATGGGTGTTTACTGTCACATATTTCTTAGATTCATCTTCCAGGAGAAGCTGATTATATGTTTAGTTCATGTCAAGCTTGGTAAATTCCTCGTCTGTTCCTAAGGTTGCATATAAATCCTCCGTTGTTGGAATCGGATGATTATCAAGTTTTTACATAACATTGACGGTAATTATGTTCTAAATAAATTCTAAATAAGGAAATGTTTCTTTTAGGATACCAACTGTTTCATTTGCTTATCTCTATTTCTCGAAGCCAATAAGCAAAGAATTTAGTTTGGTCTGGAATTTGTCTGAACAAACTATTTTAGCGCAACTTTCATAAAAGGATTTCGTATACTAGTAATCTGTAATATCAGATAAACCATTGTTGCATTCTTCAAGGTAAGGTTTGATGAATTACCATGTTTGTATTTCTGAGCCAGGACAAAAGTAGCACAGCCCTCGACATAAAACTTAGATATATACAAAGTAAAATACTCTTGAAATGGTGGTACCGTTGCAAAACCCTTTCTTTTCTTTTAAGTGATTAACTAGTGCAGTATTTCCAATCACTTTTGCACCCATCAAAATGTTGCGAATCTTTCGTAAAGGGGTAATTATCCCATTACAGCGATTCCAAAAGTTGTCTTGTAAACCTTTGTCATACATGTCTTTTTTGAAATAATGATAATCAGTAAGACAGCTAATGATATCCTTGATGTTCCGGTTATGACCATTAAAGAATATTTCCTCGGTTATGATATTTTTAAGTTGATCAATTTTCATATCAACGTAGGCCAAAGTATCATCCATTTGTTTTTGAATTGCTGTTAATTTCGACAAGACACCATCGTTATCGTTGTTGAGAATGGATGCCAAATCGAAGCTCACAGAAATCAATTCTTTTGAAAGTTTGAAAAACTCAAAAACACTGCCTTTGCCTTGCAACCAACTTCATTAGCAAAGAGGAATACCTGCAAATTTACATTTAATATATTTTGATGAATTAAAATGTCTAAGGAATAAAAAAAAACAAACAAAATAATACATAACTTTGCATTATTGAAATTTAATACAGAAATCTACTTACTATGAGGAAAAATTACATTATGCAATTCATCTTGAAGGCAAAATTCTTTAATGCACTGTATTAGACTTTCTTAGTTTTCAAATTGAGAATTAAAATGAATGATTACTAAGATCTATATTTATCAACTGATATCAATAGAAATTAGGTAATAATGTAAAGTTTCCACCGTAAAAGCATTTTCGTTTATCAATGAAATCAGCAGGCATCCCATATTAACTGGTCTGAATTATTTTTAAAAAAGAAATTATATCACATACTGTAATTATAAACCACTTACATTTCGATGACCTTACTTTCTCATAAGTTATTCTGGTCACTGATCAATAGAAAACAAAACAGCTCAATCTACGCAGCACAGTTAAGGTTACAAAAAGGAGGCGGAGCCTAATTTGTACGGGAAAACTTGACTATGACATCATACACAATATACGTCATACAAAATTTCTTTAAAATACTACAAGATGAGTTTATATGCTAATTTAACCAGTAAGAAATCATCAAACTACATAAAAACTTACTACAAGGTGTTGTTTTGTTGTTAGTTAAATCCCACATAACAAGTTTTAAACAAGTCACTGATCGAAATACACTTGTCAATATGACGTCATTTCTTACAACATGACGTAGTTTGTATGCAGTGAGAGACAGATCAAGTAATATTTTCTCAGCAAAATATGTATTCTCTAATTAAATAAAATATTATTTACTGATATTCTATGGGCCAATAACTTGAATTTAATCTCTTATTCACCATTTAATTAATATATTTTCTGTACATTACGTATTTAGTTGACACTGCCGTATATTTGTATGAAAGTACATCGGAGGGTAATGTGGGGGGTCTTAATAAATCGATCTAGTGCAAGGGCATACACTCTATGGATCAAAGTAAGCTTTTACATTTTAATTATAGAACTATTATAGTATCTGAAAAGTGCTGCGATCCTGATGAAATCGAAAAGACAAATTAATTATATCAATATTTCATGCCGCAGACCAGCAAAAAAATGGCATTCTGCCATACAAGTATAATTTTAACAAAGATATTGCAGAATTTAGACAGGATCGCAGCACTTTTTAGAAACTACAATGCGTGTTGAAAATATTTATATGCTAAACTTGGAAATTTAACTTGGTTATGCCCTTGCACTAGTGATATTTATATGTAACATCAATACTTCAAGTCAATGTGCTTAAATCGCGTGAGTGCCGCATCAGTGACTAGTCTAAATATAAAATATAATCGTCCTCGATATGTAGTTATTAATAATAATTGCAATTATTCGATATGAATAATGTACTAAAAATAATCGCCATCCCGATTACGAATACATTTTTAAATACAAAATTTAGTCGATATTTCCATTGCGCACCTTAACTGTGCTGCGTATGCAATAATTTAGAAAAAATGCAGAAAACCAATTCAAAATTATTCTAACTGAAATTCAATTAAAGTATGAAGTTCCGTATTATTTAACAGTAAACGATTAATTCGAATAAGAAATGCTTAATTTTGAAATTAAAAATAGTGAATGACTTGAGTAATACAAACAAGGAAATAAATGGACCTTGATTGGTCATTACTTTAGTAGCCTATATTTGTAAATGATTTGAAAGATAAAGTTTTAGAATATACATTCAAAGAAATTGTAAATATTCAACGAAGTTAAAAATGCCACCTGCAACTGTTCCTGTTTATCTTTATATTTTGTCGCTGAAATTGATTTTTGTAGAATTGTGGGAAAAAAATGAAATATCAGATAGACATAAGTATCTAATTTTCTCACAAAATCATGACTCAACTTAATAATCTCAGAATTTTTTTTATAAAATTTGTATCTGTCTTAAGGCTATACAATGCACTCGTTATGGAATTAAGACTAAATATGATTAAGTAATTATACTTTACAGTTTGAAAAAAAGAATAGTACATTGTAAATATGTACAAGTTCTTATACCACGTTTTCCAAACATGAGCATAAAATAAAAAAAGAATAATTCGTTTATAATACATCATTATCTATTCCACTGACAAGCATAGCGTACATAGTCATGTAGCATAATTTACATATACATGTCCATTTCCAATATCAGGTAGAAGGAGGAATGATAAACCTAAAGTTATTAGCTTTCCTTTATTTAAAAAATGATTACTCGGACCTATTTTTATCAATTGATCGAAAAGTATGACGTTGAGAAACTGAAACCTCTTGAGGTACTTTGTCTAAATGCCCACTTTACCTAGTATCAAATATGGTTGTGCAATGACTACTTGATCTTTTTACTGTCATATTATTCACAATGTATAGTTATAGAAAACATAAAATTTTCCATGGCAGAGATATCATTAAGCTGTTAATTTCCGTAACAGATATTTTGACTGATTTACATTTATACCAAAGATCACATGTTCTTGGACCACTTGCAAAAAAGCTACCGTTTACTTTTGGAACGAAACCTTCTGGCACTCTTCAATAGTAAAAAAGGGGAGACGAAATTTTCTCATAAAAAATTGTATTGACTGAAATTCAATTAAAGTTTGTAAATTTATATCATTAAACAATGAACGATTAATTCGCACTAACAAAAAAGGCTTAGCTTTTAAATTAAAAACTATGAATGACTTGAGTAAAGCAAACCCAAAAGTTGATGCCTGGATTAGTCATTATTTTTGTATCTATATTGTTTGTATATAACATAAAAAATATTTTTTGAACATTAAGAAATTGTAAACATTTTAAATTTCATCTACCAGTGTTTTTGTTTTTGTATACACTTAACATTATATAACTTTTAAGTATTCACTTTAATGAATACATTTTATCAAAAAGTACTTTATAGAATGATTTGAATTTTTCAAAGGATTACAACAAACGAGTTTCCCCAACAATTGAAGAAAAAAATCAAAAAGAAATCATGCAGTGCTCTTGACAGTCTAATATAAGCTCAATCAGTCTGAATCATCCATAAAGCGGTACACTTACATCCTTAACGCCCAAGGATATTGACCAAAAGGTCTCTGTGTGATGATTCACTGTCAAATTCGTGGATCTGAATCTCATTGAACACATTCGGGATTTTATAAAAACTGTCAAAGCCCCCCCCCCCCACCACCACCTCCACCTCCACACAATATCTATAATATATAAAAAGATCTATGCAGTAGGCGTGGAAGAAGATGGGTCAATCTCCTACATGTATTCAGGTATCCAACAGTAAAGTTTGTCTTGCCAGCCTTTAGGGTGAATTTTTGTTTTGTTTCTGACAAGATTAAATATTAAAATATATTTCCTTCCTCGTCACAATTATACAACTTTTAATATACATAATATATGTTAAACTGAGTTTGAAATCGAGCGGACTCTATATTTTGGGCGTAATGGAGGCTTATTGAGCTATCTTATTTTCTCCTTAGCAAAATGTTAAATCTATAGAGTGTTGTAGAACAATGAATTTTATTTTATTTTTATACTGTCATAGACTCTAAATAATTTTCAAATGTAAGTTAAAATTGATTATAAGGGATTATGCTTTTAAGATATTTCAAATAAATATGTTTTACCCCAAAACATACAAGTATGTAAGATTTTATCAATTTCTAAACTAAGTACAGATTCCAGCGAATAATCTGTTCGTCCTTTCTTTAAATTGCATGTATTATACCATTGAATGATATTTAATAAGTCTTTCACAGAATCTATATAACACTTTGCCATTGTGACCGCCTATTTCACTTGATGATCTTAAGGTTCATAAACCCTCTGCTCACTCATATAAAATGTTGCTGGAACTTCAATGATTTTCCAAAAGAAATGTATTTTATAAGTAAATTACAAACAATTATAGCATAGCTTGTGGGGCAAAATTGGACAAAAAAGACACTTCAACTTGGCAAATCTATAAAGGAAAAATAGACATTTATGTCATTAAGTGTAATCTCTCTTATCAGAGTATCTCAACATATTTCTGGTCTTCCAGAACAAACATTGACCTTGTCATTATAACTTTTAGGGAGTTTGGGTATAATTTAGTAAGCTTACATGTTTTGCCTACAGCACCCCTAATTTTTTGTATGTAGGGGCAGATATTATGAAAATTGTGTTTTACTAGCAAGCAAGAATTCCAGTTTATTTCAATTTTAAAGGTACTTGGACACAGATTTGAAGTTAATATTTTCTCATTTTTTCTATATAATATCACGAATTATATATTTTAATAGCATTTCACACAAAAATTAATTAAAAATCTTATTTCATTTAAAAGTTATTAAAACTTAAAAAATTTTTGGCGGGTTTGATTGACACATCCTTGCACTTTCACAAATTTTAACTTTATTCTTAATCCTTAGGAAAAGTGGCAATTTTGATGTGTTTTAATGAGAAATATTAAAACTTTTATCAAGAAAAATAATTTTATCAGAGTAGAAATGTTAGAAAGCAAAACACCTTCACAAGTATCGTCATTCCGAACTAAGAGATGCGTATAGAGTTTAGCAAATCGAGCACACTCGTGTTATGTATACAGTTTTTGTAAACAGGGCTCGAGTTCTGTTATTGTTTATAGTTAGAATTCACCGGGTGCGTTCAATCGTCACAGTCTGCTTACCACAACTGCACGGACTGACAATATATTGTGTGTTTGTTTTGCTTTAGAACGTGTCTACTCTGAATTTTCTGGATTATAGTATTAATATTTTTCATTTATAAAAACGAGATTGCCACTTTTCCTAAGGATTAAGAATAAAATTAAATTTGTGAGAGTGCAAGAATATGTCAATCAAACCAGCCGAAAAATTTGAAATTTCAATATCTTTTAAACGAAAAAAGATTTTTAATTAATTTTTGTGTGAAATGCTATTAAAATATATAAGTCGTAATATTATAGAGAAAATAATAACTTCAAATCTGTGTCCAAGTACCTTTAATTGTTTGTTTTAAATCAGTATTTCAGTTGAGGTTCATGACAAAATATGATCGAAAAAAAAATGACCAACATGAGTGAATACAAAAAAATTTCTGAATCTACCCTCCTGATTCTAACAGCAGTTTTTATGTGAGATGAAAAACTATATGTAATCTTCCTGTATTGACCAGATTCATTATAATTTAGGGTGTGAAGTTTCTATAAACTGTATTTTTCGGGTCTTGAATCTCTCAAAATTTTGATTTATTTTTACATGATTCAAAAAAGTAAAACTCTCTTATTGGCAATCGTTTGTTTAAAACTACGCCCGGACTTGTTAATTTGAATAAAAGTTATATATTTTTCAATTAATTCTAAGATTATTGAAGGCATATAAGTATAAATATTTTAACAACTTACACTTTACATATAGTAAAAACGTAGTACGTTATATGTCAACCCAAATATTTCAGTGCTTTTTCAATTTATTTAAACGTTTAGTTCTAGAATTATAGTGTTCATTATTTATTCAAAAATTGAAAACCATGTCTTCTATAATAGCACACTATCCACGAAGCATACATGTACCCAGAGTTGTCTTTTTTTCTGAACATTTAAGAAGAGAATTACATTTTGATACTTGATAAAACATTTAAAAGAAATTCAAAAAAAAAAAAAAAAGAAAACAGATACTGGAAGCAAACTTATAGACCAATCAAACTTTAAAAAAAAAAGAATTAAAAATACTATCCTTTATGCCCATCTTCCTGATACTCGCACTAGAGGTTGCTCTGTTTGATGTAATATTACACTATATGATTCAAACACAACACCGTTTGAAGTTGAAAAAGGTCATTTATTACCAAATGACAATTTTGTAAAACTATTACAAAAATGAAAATGTAGTTTGAAAGATTTACATTTATAAACCTTGCAGTGATACCAATATCACTACATGCAACTTCCAAATAGAACAAAACATTACTGTATAAAATTTTTACATCAAAGGTGGGGTAAGGTAAAAATGCCTTACCTACTGAAAAAAGAAATATGGAAAATTATTGTCAAATTATTCACATCAATTAAGAACACTATAAATATTTAACTATTAGGGAGAGGTGGGAGGGCTGTTCAAAAATAAACTTGTATTTCCATACAAATATGGCGCTGCCTCTGATTGTACTCAATCTGATACTGACGCTGTTGCAAAAAACAAGACTGCTCAAAAGTATTAGAGTTATCTCGCTTGTCCCACTTTCAATACACAAGAAATGGGCATAAAATCATTTATGAACATAAATAGCATTTATGCCCATCTTCCTGATACTCGCACTAGAGGTTGCTCTGTTTGATGTAATATTACACTATCTGATTCAAACACAACACCGTTTGAAGTTGAAAAAGGTCATTTATTACCAAATGACAATTTTGTAAAACTATTACAAAAATGAAAATGTAGTTTGATAGATTTACATTTATAAACCTTGCAGTGATACCAATATCACTACATGCAACTTCCAAATAGATCAAAACATTACTGTATAAAATTTTTACATCAAAGGTGGGGTAAGGTAAAAATGCCACTTACTGCCAATGACAGGCAGATCTGAACTGTCATCAGCAGTAATCCCCACCCAACCCTAAGTGCGAGTCTTAATCTTATTACAATAGAAGTATCCCTAAAATTCATACAAACTGGATTCAAACAATGAAAAATAACACATTACCAACATACAAAGAAACTATGTCAACTCTTGTAAATCAATACCATATTATTATGCATTGTACACAAACTTTGTTAGATACATAATTACATCAAAACTTTACTACTTCTTGATACAACCAGATGCTCCTGTCATCATGGTTGAAAATGTTTTTTCTAAGCCAATGTCCTCTTTCCTGAAACGGATAATGTGTCAAACTTGTTCACATATTTTGACAATTGTCCAAACCCTCATATTCTCTATTACTAGTTTGATATTTATTTTACAATCAGATGCTCTTGTCACCATGATTGGGAATAATTTGTGACACCAGTAATTAACACACTTGATAGACATCAACAAAATAAATTACTCACTAGTTTAATATAGGAACTCAACTCAAAACAGATTTTAAATGTCATGAATTATAATCTGACCAGATGCTCTTGTCACCATGATCGGGTATCATTTTGTGACACCAGTAATTAAAACACTTGATTGCAATCAACCAAACAAGTTAACAAATTACTCACTAGTTTATAGGAACTCAACTCAGAGTAGATTTGAAATGTCATGAATTACAATCTGACCAGATGCTCTTGTCACCATGATCAGGATTTTTGTGACACCAGTAATTAAAACACTTGATTGCAATCAACCAAACAAGTTAACAAATTACTCACTATTTTATAGGAACTCAACTCAGAGTAGATTTGAAATGTCATGAATTACAATCTGACCAGATGCTCTTGTCACCATGATCAGGTATCATTTTGTGACACCAGTAATTAAAACACTTGATTGCAATCAACCAAACAAGTTAACAAATTACTCACTATTTTATAGGAACTCAACTCAGAGTAGATTTGAAATGTCATGAATTACAATCTGACCAGATGCTCTTGTCACCATGATCGGGTATCATTTTGTGACACCAGTAATTAAAACACTTGATTGCAATCAACCAAACAAGTTAACAAATTACTCACTATTTTATAGGAACTCAACTCAGAGTAGATTTGAAATGTCATGAATTACAATCTGACCAGATGCTCTTGTCACCATGGTCATAACTCATTACCTCAACCTCACATCGTGAGCAGTCAAAGGTTTACAAAGGGGATTCGAATGTACTTTTTGAAAGCGTCTGATGACCACCGCCCCATTGCTTTAATTTTTTGCTCTAGAACTCCATAGGAAAAAGCCGTTGTGGCTGCTCTGATTCTAAAGCTGTGACCTTTATATCATTTACAATCTACCCCACACAAATTTAATGACAAACATAACTGATCTGTACAATATTTCCGTGACACCGGTGACCCATCTATGAAAGTAAAAAGAGGACCAGAAGTTGGTTTTTATAATTGAAAATATGTCCATAGGGCCTGAACAGGACATATTGTGTTATCTTTGCTGTCATTTTTCACATGCAAAGTGTAAGATTGACCTTTACCATGTTGAAAGTTTTCATAGTCAACTCCAACCCTATTGGGCAGTCTGAAGTATTTTCTTAAAAAAAATGTACAGATTGTACTGTCCATAAATGACAATTTCTGTCTTTTGAAAATGTAAATTTACAGTGAAAATGCCACTAAATACACACAAGTACCTGTACAAAATATAAACTTGTAGTACATTGTAAAGAAGCTATCAGCTGTTTAAGAATGATTGGTGTTATAGGTAACCTAAGGTCCACTAAGCTTGTCTTTTTCTTGTAACCTTGTAATCATTTTTTCACTAAAAGTTGGGCCTTTCATATTCCTTATCTTATGTTGAATACTTAATGCTGAAACATAGGTTGCCAGTAACAATAAGCTATAAACAAAATGATATCTTAAGCTTCTGCTTTTGCTGGTACACCTTTAGTTGGCAAAGCAAAATGATGACACCAAACAATAATAATATTCAATTGCCCTTTTATAAGTATTATGAGTTGATGATGCTAATTCCTGATTTTAAAAAAAAAATTAATAATAATACATCGATTTTCTAACTGATCTGCCCAAAGTTGAACTGCAAGTACACTGGGAAATAACTCCTTTTATTGTAAAATGATAGGTTTTCCAGGTTTTAGGCCATATACCACTAAAATACTGATTTCGTAAATAACCACTGAAACCAATGTTACAATGTACTTGCATCCATATACAACTGTAATGAGTCAGAATTGTCCCATTGCTCTGACAAAAAGAGTGACTTGCCATTGAAATGCTCTAAAAACAAATCCCAAGCATTTAAATCCGCTAGAGCTTCCTTATTCAATTTCCTATGATGAAAAGGTTGAACTGAACAGGCGAAGTTTAACACACCTACATGTATTACAGACTGTAACTCTAGTAATATTATAGATTTTTTAGACTTGTGAATTTGTGAAGGTGTCTAGCTTTAGTTAACTTGTCTTGTGGTAAACATGACTCCATCAAAATAGAATCCAACTCAATACCCAAAAATATAAGCGAAGTGTATGGAAGGACAGTTTTTAACTCGTTAATTGGAATACCAATATCCTTGAACAAAAACATGAACTAGTCTCCCATGTAAGCCTAACTTGTTTTCGCAAACCCAATGTACTGCAGTACCGAATTCTTCAAATAACTGACAAGAAAAACTAAGTCACATAGGGAGAGTTTTGTAAAAATAGTATTTTATGTCTAAAGTAAAACCCAAAAATTCCCAATCTGAACAATGTATTGGAATGATTTTATATGCATTCTGAATATCCAATTTAAACAACCCACAATCTTTTCCATATATGCCTATTAAACCTACTGCATCTTCTACCTCCTGATATTGAACAGATTTTAATTTATTATAAATACCAGAAACCCAGAATTTAGACCTACTTTGGATTTACCCAAACTGATAGCCGATGCCTCACTATGGATTTCTGAATTTATTGTTTGCTTTTTGGGCTTGATTTCACACTCCCCTTCCAAGTTTTCTCTGATTTCAAAGACTTTATAATTATTCTATTTTTGATTCCTAACAAATTTCCAAATCAACTAATTCATTTCCCCAGATTTTGCTTTTTTATCTTAGAATCTCACAGAGACCCAATGGCCCAATGATACTGGGATTCTTAACCCCTACGTTAGGTGATAACTCCTTAGATGCTGTTTGTTAATTAGAACCTGAATTACTTGGTAAAATTGCCATCTTCTAATTGGCTTGAATGATTGTTGCTTGTTGGAGTGTCACTTGTGACTTCCTCTTGTTGTAAATTAACTGGCTTTGTAACCACCCCCATAGTCTGTAGGCCTATTACCGGTACTCATCTCTGTAAAAGGATGTTAGCATGTATGCCTAATTTATACAAATCATGTCAAGAATTCAACCTATCTATGACTGATAAAATTATCAGCTTTTGATAAATGTTGCAAAAATATTGTTGATTTACTAATCTAAATATTAGCCCATATCAGGCAATAGGATAAAATTACCCATTAGACCTGACTCTAGGGTAGTTCTTTATACAAATTATTGTTTATATCTTAAGGCGATTCCACCCTCACAATTTTATAGGTTCAAAGTATAAAAACTGCATTTATTTTCATTTAAGATGCAAAACATAAATACACAGAAGTGTATGTCAACATAACAAAAATTGCACATTTCTTACAAACAGTATTATGAAAAATAAGTAAAACTGGCTAAAATGCATAATTCTGATGCTGAGTGTTGCTAAATACTTCCTACTTAAAAGATACTTTTGAATTGTGAATATCAGATAAACTATTTTACAATATAGCAAATGCCAGACTGAAGAGACCCTAGAAGGAGTTCTTGCCCTTGTTAACAATTTAAAAAAAAAAAAAAAAAAAAAAAAAAAAAAAAAATTTTAAAAGGTATAATTGTTTAAATTTAGAAAATATGCATTTTTTAAAATTCTTTAACTTTACAATATTTATCATTACACTTATTGTAAAGCATTGTTCCAAGAGATATTGTTCTATTTAGGTATGAATTTAAATTAATTACAGTTTTTGCAAAAACCTATGGCATCATAAGAGGGTGGAATTACTTTTAAACAATCTGTATAATTAAAGTGCACTAGTGAAATAGAGCTACACAATGTATCAAGAAACCATTGCAATATCACTAATTAATTCACTATCCCTGGTGAAGCATTGCGATAGAATTATCGCATTTATAACTTGATAGAATTATCAAGATTCAGCACTGATCAAGACGTGATAAAATTATCACTAACTGCGATAGAATTATCGCATTTATAACTTGATAGAATTATCAAGATTCAGCACTGATCAAGACGTGATAAAATTATCACTAACTGCGATAGAATTATCGCATTTATGACTTGATAGAATTATCAAGATTCAGTACTATTGAAGACGTGATAAAATTATCACTAACTGCGATAGAATTATCCCATTTATAACTTGATAGAATTATCAAGATTCAGCACTGATCAAGACGTGATAAAATTATCACTTATTGTAAAGCATAGCAATAGAATTATCGCATTTGTAACTTGATAAAGTTATCAAGAATCAGTAGTACATTGAAATACCACTAATTGTTCAGTAATGTGCAAAATTACCACTCATACTTGAACATGTGGCAAATTATCACAGGCTCTTCTGCAACTCCTGCAGAAGAAAAAGTTTCCAGACTTACTGTTCTAAGTAAAAATAAATGCTTGATCACAAGGGTCCCTTGCTGTATTTCCCACTCTTGGACTGGCTCTCTACAATGCATCTAATATGTGATTAAATAAAAATCTGCTGAAAGTAAAACATTGTGTCATATATGCATAATAAGCTATATATACATGTATTGCCTGTTTCTGAATTTAAATTGCAAATTAACCATAATTGTTATATGGCTAAATGACATACAAACTATTTATCTAGCTATCGCTTGTACTATGTATCACAGCACCCCTGATTGCCCTGTAATATTTACATTGCCAAGATGGTTCATGTGTACACCGTCACATAAGTTATTCACTACAGAGTTCTTCAAGCCCTTTAACTTCCAGTACACAACCTGCCTTCTGTTTTTAACGTCTTCTTTTAAAAGTTGATTTGCAAAGACTATTTACTTATTATATAAAACAACTCGGCAATGTCAGGTGGAATATCTTGGTAACAACTGACACACATATATCTATAGTGTATTTAAATGATACCGGTTTAAAAACAAGTCACATCACACATGTCGCCATTATTTTTGACACAATTTCCCTTACCGAGTCCTCATCAGCCTGCGGCTGATCGATATCGTTTCCCGAAATATGTAAAATTAGCTTCTCTTTGAATCTCCTCTTCTAGCACTCTAATGTCCATACCATGCATACTACGGCCTATTCTGTCCCCACTAATCCCAATGACCGAAATCGCTACATTTTGTACATTAGATATAATTGTTAGCATGTTGTCTCTATTTCCTCGCATAATGATATAAGCGTCGAATGTGTGAGTCAAATATTAATATAGACATCTTGATGAAGGAAGAACGCAGTACAAAACAAAAATCGTTGGGACAACAAAGGTCACGAATGATGGAAAATCTGAACGCACGTAGGCCTTCCACGTGTGCCAGGACCGAATTTCAAGTCTCGTCTTTTAACACTTACAAATGTGCTGAATTCCTTGGAAATCCAAAAGATCACACCACCAGAAGTCCATTAAATGTATTAATTGTGCACTGGACACGCTGTAAGCCAACTTGCTTGTTCAAAAATAAACTTGTATTTCCATACAAATATGGCGCTGCCTCTGATTGTACTCAATCTGATACTGACGCTGTTGCAAAAAACAAGACTGCTCAAAAGTATTAGAGTTATCTCGCTTGTCCCACTTTCAATACACAAGAAATGGGCATAAAATCATTTATGAACATAAATAGCATTTAAGCATTAGAAAAAAACCTGAAAATAAAATCATATAGAAAAAATAAACCTTCTAATATGCAAACGTTAAAAATGGTTATAGATCTACATTTTTTAACACGACATGACAATTTTAATAAAAGGAATCACTATAAATGAGTTTTCTATCTATATATGAAATGGTTCTTACGGTTTGAAAACTTACTCTAGAGAGGGAGACATAGAGAGCGTCTGTATTTTAGTAGTGAACACGCACTGTGCATTTGGCAAAAAACAAGCTCAATGTTGTCAGACAGGTGTTTAATTCAAGGAATGAAAGCTGAACGTAAATGATATTTTATGCTAGTAAAATTATTTTAAGTTAAGTTTCATGTATTATATGTTAATTTGTAATTCCCCACTTTGTGCCTCATTATCTGTAAACCCGTGGGGACCCCCCGGTAATTTTATCCTTTTGAGATAAGAGAACTAGCATCATTATATCTACTGCTATTGTAAAGACAAGACGGCCAAACATCTGCTGTAATATTTTTTGGATTACCCAAACAGACTTTAACTGTACATTAGGCCACTTCAAACTCATATGTCTATGTTTTCATCGTAATTAATTTTTTGTGTATATTATATTGTTAGTCATATCATATGTAGGTCAAATAATGGAATTTTGAGCCAATTCATATGTATAAGGCCATATATCTTTCTAGAGACTTAATTCATGTTCATTTTAACCGAAAAAAACAAGCAATTATTCACTTATGAGTGTACATGACAAGAAAATGTTGAGATACTAAACTTTTGAAAATAAACTGGAAGCAGATCTTCCATGAAAACAGAACTATTATAATAAAAGAATTGATTAAAACAAATCGTATACTATCAGATATCTCCACCAATGTGCACTACATTAAAATGTTTTTTTTCACAAGTCATGTACTATCTTTGATTTTTTGACTCTCTCCTTTATTATGAAAATAATATTCTGTCCAAAAAACGACTATATCAATTCTTTTGGAACATATCTATGATTCCAAATGTTGTCCGAGGTATTATACTTTACGTACCAAACAATTCTGAAAAAAGAAATACATGTATCTACTTTTAATTTCCTCTATGTTTCGCGAATATGTAATATTTCTGAAAAACAAACAAACAAGCCAGATCTACATTTTTGGCCAATTATATGTTTATATTGGCCTCAATGACATCAGGATATAACTCTCATTTCCGTATTTGTTAAAGTAATGACATTTTGTTTTAACTAGATAACAAGACCCTGAAATTATAAAATGTACCTGCTACACAAAGGTCCATGAAATGTCATTAGAATTTTTGAATTAATGATTTTTATTCCCTTAAGACTGATAAAGCCCTGCAATATCAATCTATATATAAATATTCCACAGAATTAATTTTCATGCTAAGTATGCATGATAACATAATGAAGTCGCACATCAACAAAACTCTGTTGCTTCTAATACATATGTTTTCAATTACTGAATGAGTAAATTATCCATATTAAAATAATGTTTTCTACTAAGATCGTTAACTTGCATGTTAGCATATAGGATAGGATTAAAATAAATCATAATAAATTAAAATTTTTAAATACAAATCATTTGGATTTATTATTAAAATATTTCTACCAAATTTGGTAAGCATACGACGTGAAATAAAAAAAGATATGAGAGGAGTCCACAAACTTTTCGAACAACCCTCGTATATCTCGAAAGAGCTATTCAGGGAACAAGAACTTGCATGTGCAGCCAGACTTGAAGCTGAAGATACCTGTTCACAGTCATGTACTTTACATAAAATATAATTATTGTACGTTAAATTCTCCCCCTTATAACTACAAGTTATAAATTATAATTCAGTATAAACATACACATTTTTGAGGTATCAGTTTGCATTGCTATGCTATAATTCATTATCAACTACATACGTTCAAACAATCTTCATCTTCAACGTCTGGTCACATGCTGATTCACCGTCTGCTGCTACAGATATTTTACATCCTGTCGCTCCGATTTCTCGGTGACAAAAGAGACCCTTACAACTTTACTGCCGCCTAATGATTAAATATCTACAGCCAATATTTATAAGAAACAGACGCAGAGATACAAAATGAATATTTTTTATAAATAATTCAAGAAGCTTGTTTTAGTTTATAAAAAAGTACACTCTTAATTGTAAATAGCATCAATGAAGGATATGGAGAAAAGGAAAAGTTTTCAATATCAAAGTCCATTAAACAATACAAAATAGGAACAGAGCAAACAAATACCTCCAAAATTTCAGAGTAGGGATCAAATGCCATGGAGGAATGAGTATCCCCTGCCAACCAGTACACCTGCAGTGTGCTCTTTGACATGATCGTGAAATAACGGAAGAATCCGTCGTCAACACCCATTGATGAATTGTATTTACTGACAAGGACAATGTATCGACCATAGAAATTACGAAATGATGACTTTAAATGAGACTGCTGATATTCTAATTTGTTATTATTAATATGCAGGCAATGAAGGTATATTACTTTATAAGTAAGGAAAGTTGACGATAGAACAGTCATCACGTTAATCATAGTTCATGGAGGTTAGATTACCCTTAACGTCTTTTTCATGTAAAATATCCAAGTATGTTAGAGATGTGTCAGGATATAGAAATGGAAATTACCATTGTTAATTGACAATACTTCGTCGATATATGTAAATGTCGAGCTGAAGGCCACAACAAGTATTTTTTTTTCTTTTCACGCATAAGATGTAGCATAAATTCTGCTTCATGTAAACACAAAAATAAGTCTGCTAATAACGAAGCGTATTTGGTACCCATGGGAACCCCAAGAGTTTTTGGAAGACCTGGTTTCCAAAAACCAGAAAGATATTGCCAAAAATCTATTGGAATTCCCATGGGTACAAATTGCGCTCCGTTATTAGCAGACTTATTTTTATATTCATATGAAGCAGAATTTATGCAAACTCTTGTGCTTGAAAAGAAGAAAACACTTGCTGTGGCCTTCAACTCGACATTTAGATATATCGACGACGTATTGTCAATTAATAATGATATTCTCAATTCCAACGTCGATACGATATATCATGGTGAGCTTGAGATAAAAGATACCACAGAGTCCGACACTTCTACTTCACATTTGGATATTTTACTTGAAAAAGACACTAATTGTGATCTAACAACCAAACTACATGTATATGATAAACGTGATGACTTTAACTTTTCTATCGTCAACTTCCCTTACTTATGCAGCAATATACCTTCAACACTTGCATACGGAGTATATATATCTCAGTTGATTCGATACGCAAGAGCATGCTCTAAGTTTGAACAATTTCTTAAACGAGGTAAATTATTGACAAGCAAGTTGATGAAACAAGAATATCAGCAGTCTCGTTTAAAGTCATCATTTCGTAAGTTCTATGGTCGATACAATGACCTTGTCAGCAAATACAGTTTATCATTGAGTCAAATGCTGACTGACGTTGTTCATACCAATTGTTAGTCCATTATTTATACATTGAATTGACGACGGATTTTTTCCGTTACATGTATTTCCTGATCATGACAACGAGCACATGGCGGGTATGACTGGTCGGCAGGGGATGCTCACTCCTCCATGGCACCTGATCCCACCTCTGATGTTTCGGAGGTCCGTGTTTGCTCTGCTCTGATTTTGTATATCGTTTAATGGACTTTGAGATTGAATACTGTTCGTTATCTCCATAATATCCTTCTGTCAATCAGAACCTCAATCATTTTTTATATCATTTTAGAGTACTAAAAATGACATTTTAGAGTACTAAAATGAAATTTTAGAGTACTTATGTGTGCAATCAGAATGTGTTTTAACAAAATAGTTTTTGCAAAATGGCAAATAAACGATGACCAGGTAAGTAAAGAGCCTAAGTCAAAAGTACAGAATTTCAAAATAGGACAGTATTGCCTCTGGATGTACCTACAGACTATATATTTTTTCAAACCAACATTTTTTCTTCAATATCTCTTAAATATATGGATGAATTTCGTATGTTTTCGGACAATTATGATGAAATTGTGAATTTTAACATTTCGGAGTACTCATTAAAAATTGGTAAATATTTATCAATTAATGAGTAATTCACATAAATATGTACATGTATATTACAATATATTACAGATAGTATTTCGATATTTTGTTAATACATGTAAAAGATAACTTTGAAATCATAACATCAGGTACAATGTATAAGCTGAGGTACATTTACAAGTGAAAATAACAGCGTGCCCCTTAAGCGTTTTCTTATTGCAGTATACGTAAATAATTAGATACACTGTAACGTCTTATTTTTCACATTGAAAATGTTTAATGATGATAATTTTATCAATATTTACACACATTTTATGCATTTGATATTTTAATCAGTCTAAATAAAGCCAAGTCCAGGCACGTAGCAACATAAGGGGGTGGGGTGGTTAAATGTAAAAAGCACTTCATGTAATGATAAAACAACTTACATCATGATACATGTTTTGTATACAATATAATGACATACGTATCTACATAATATCGTGAAAGATTTATTTTTAAAGAAATCTCTTGGTCATATATGGTACTTTCTGACTTTTGGTCTTTACGAAGTCCAATTTTATTGAAAAAGCAGCTGTCAGTGATCTAAAAAAGCCTGGACTTTACTTTATCGTGGGGATCGGTGTATAAAATTGAAAAGTCGTAAGTGTTTAAGCTGTTGATTTTAATAAAATCTTGCAATTTCAAATTGTCTAAAAGTTATTTGGAATTTTTGAGCATACACATCTAATTAACACCACTTTTTGTATATATTGCTGCACAGTACTCTTGAAGTCTTTGCTTCACTACAGTCAATATCTTAGTGAGGAGTAAAAGAGAAGCTTGGTTGGACATTTATCTTTGTTTGTAATAATCCTTATGAAGTATAATATATATATATTGGTACACACTTTATTACAAATGCAGCCGCGATTGTATTTCGTCAGCAA